AGGCTCTGTTTTCTTCAGTTTTTTTTCTTTATATTCCTCAGATTCAATAATTTTCCTTGTCCTTTCTTCAGGTTTGTTGATTCTTGTGCTTGCTCAAATCTGCCATTGAATCTCTCTAGCAAGTGTTTTTTAAAATTTTAGCTATTGTACTTTTCAGTTCCAGAAAATTTCTGGAAACCAATTTCTTTTTGGTTTCTTTTTAGGTTTTCTGTCTCTTTATTGATATTTCCATTTTGTTCATACATCATTTTCTTGATATTTTCCACATCTTCTTTTAGTTCTTTGGGTAACTTTAAGACAGCTGTTTTAAAGTCTTTGTCTAATAGATCCTCCATCAGGTCCTTTTCAGGGACAATTTCTGTTGGTTTATTTTTTCCTTTGAATGGGCCATATTTGCCTGTTTCTTTGTATCTCTTGTTTTTTTGTTGTTGTTGTTGAAAACTTGACTTTTGAATCTAATAATCTGGTAATTCTGAAAATCAGATTATTTTCCTCCCGCAGGGTTTACTAGCTTTTTGTTTTTTATTGTTGTAGGCTGTCTCTGTGCTGAGGAAATAGCCTGAAGTATAAGCTTACAGTCTTCTTGGGTCTTTTCTAAGCCTGTCCCTGGGCATGCACAGTGACTTTCTAATATCTTCTGTATATACAGTTGTTTTTGAATGTCATAACCTTCAATGTCTGGCTTCCAAAAATGGAGAAAAAGAGAAAAGTGAAGGGCAGAAAAAGGCTCTAATCGTTTTAATCCCCTGGAAGTTGCTTCAGCCAGAGGAGGTGCGGTTTGCCACAATGTGGGGGAAAGTGCAACAACAAAACAATGGCTGTCATTTCTTTTTCTGCACCTTCATAAAGCAACAATCAGCAATCAGAGCCCTACTATTTGGAGGACAGTTTGGTTTTTTTTTTTCCAACCTTGATTCCAGCAAGTTGTGTGCATACTGCTCCAGGAACACATACACGGCTGCCTGATACAGGGCTGAGGAGTAGGATTTGGCTACTCTTGGCTATTACTGTGCTGAAATTCACTGAAATTAACTGCAGCTTACTGTCCAACTCTTCCCCTAGAAGTTGCAAGCTTTCAATAGACCCCAAAGTTTTAAAATAGTTATGTCAGACAGATTCTGTTAGAACAATTGTTTAGGTGGGAAGTCAGATTCCTGGTGCTTTCTACTCTGCCGTCTTCCCAGAATCCTCTCTCTAGTTTTAAAGACATAAGAATTTATAATATACTTTTAACTCCAGTGGTAATAAAAGCACATTAAATATCTACTCATTGGCCGGGCGCGGTGGCTCAAGCCTGTAATCCCAGCACTTTGGGAGGCCGAGACGGGCGGATCACGAGGTCAGGAGATCGAGACCATCCTGACTAACACGGTGAAACCCCATCTCTACTAAAAAATACAAAAAACTAGCCGGGCGTGGTGGTGGGCGCCTGTAGTCCGAGCTACTCGGGAGGCTGAGGCAGGAGAATGGCGTCAACCCGGGAGGCGGAGCTTGCAGTGAGCTGAGATCCGGCCACTGCACTCCAGCCTGAACGGCAGAGCAAGACTCCGTCTCAAAAAAAAAAAAAAAAAAAAAAAAAAATCTACTCATCCAAATAAAATTTTGTTCATTAGTACAAAAATCCAGTGAAATCCTTTATAGAAGCTACACTCTTCACATTGGTTCTCGGCAGGAAAGTCCCTCATCTGAGCAGGTTGAGGGCTAACAAGTATCTTCTCATATGAGAAGGAAAAAGGGGGAACATCTTATTTCTTGGAGCAAACAGGACAAGAATAGCTGAAATGGAGGAAGTATGTGACTTATATGTGATTTCAAACTTGTGTTGCCAACAAATCTTTTCTATGCTTATAATAGAGTAAGGAATACAGAAAACTTATGGATAAATTTAGTGATATGGTTTGTATAGTTGTCCTCTCCAAATCTCATGTTAAAATGTAATCCCCAGTGTTGGAGGTGGGACCTTGTGGGAGGTATTTTGTGAGGGGGGTGGATCTCTCATAAATAGCTTGGTGCTGTCCTTGCAATAGTGAGTGAGTTCTCACAAGTTCTGGTTGTTTAAAAATGTATGGCACCTCCTCCCTCTTTCTTTTACTCCCACTCTCACCATGTGAGATGCCTGTGCCCCTTTCATCTTCTGCCATGACTGTAAGCTTCCTGAGGACCTTACCAGAAGCAGTTGCCATTACCATGCTTCCTCTATGATCTGCAGAACTGTGAGCCAAACAAACCACTTTATAAATTACCCAGCCTCAGTATTTCTTTTGAGCAATGTAAAAACGACCTAATACACCCAAGGAATGTGTTTGAGCCAATATTCCTTGAGTGCCTCTTTGTGCTGGGCACTTGGCTAAATACTTATTATTTCTATTGTCTAATATGGTTGCTACCAGCCTCGTGTGGCAAATGAATACTTGAAATGTGGCTTGTCAGAATTAAGATGTGCTGAAAGTAAAATACACACCAAACTCTAAAGATTTAGTATGAAAAATAATGTAAAATATCTCAGTAATATTTTATGTTGATTACATGTTAAAATCATATTTTTGTTGTGTGGAGCTAAACAAGATATATTATTATAATTAATTTATCTGTTTCTCTTTACTTTTAAAAATGACTACTAGAAAATGGATACTTATGTGGCTCACAGTTGTGGGTTGCATTACATTTCTATTGGAAAGTATAGCTTTACATTATTCTTATATTGCATCCCATAACAATCTTATAACATAGACTGTTGTTAGGTCTCTTTTACTGAAGGAGAACTGCTGCGATGTAGACTGTGGGCGAGTTGCCCAGCATTATTAATGTACCCCAGACAGTTATCTTGCCCTATTTTCTGCCATGTAACAAAACAGCGAGAAGTAGTCAGTCTGCATCTGGGAAGAGGGTCCTCACCAGAACCTGACCATGCTGGCATCCTGATCTCAGACTTCCAGTCTTCAGAACTGTTTCTGTTGCTTATATACCACTCAGTCTATGGTATTTTGTTATAGTGGACTGGACTGACTAAAACATATATTAAGCCATAAGACTCCAAATCATAATCTCTGCTCATGTCTGATGCAGCTGGCAAGAAATCAGCAAGATTCACATAAAATTGCCATGGAATTTTGACAACACCTCCTGCTTTATCTAGTACCTGATATAAGCTCTGGGTCTTGTTTCACCATCTGTCCCATGATTTTGTTCCTATTTCTGCAAACTAACTTGGATTTGGGGCAGGTATTATTTTAGTATTTCATAACCCACAAAGCATTCTTTGAATTGTATCTCATTGCCACCAAGTAACTATTTTTCTGGCAACTTTTTTTTCTACTTCAGGTGCAGAGCATTGGTTAATCTTAAATTCATGGCACTCCACTACCAATTGTCTTATTCATTCACTCCTTTGCAACCCTATTCTCCACTTCTGTTCCTCTACCCTCTCCATAGGCAGTCATTCTTTTTATGTTTTTTTAAGTTTTATGTTTTTTTAAAGTTTTATGTCTTTTTAAGTTTTACGTTTGTTTAAGTTCTGGGGTACATATGCAGAACATGCAGGTTTGTTACATCGGTATACACGTGCCATGGTGGTTTGCTGTACCCATCAACCCGTCACCTACATTAGGTATTTCTCCTAATGTTATCCCTGTCCTAGCCCCATGACCCCTGACAGGCCACAGTATGTGTTCTTCTCCTCCCTGTGTCCATGTGTTCTCATTGTTCAACTCCCACTTATGAGTGAGAACATGTGGTGTTTGGTTTTCTGTTCTTGTGATAGTTTGCTGAGAATGATAGTTTCCAACTTCATCCATGTCCCTGCAGAGGACATGAACTCATCCTTTTTTATGGCTGCATAGTATTCCATGGTGTATATGTGCCACATTTTCTTTATCCAGTATATCACTGATGGACATTTGGGTGGTTCCAAGTCTTTGCTGTTGTGAATAGTGCTGCAATAAACATACGTGTGCATGTGTCTTTGTGGTAGAATGATTATAATCCTTTGGGTATATACCCAGTAATGGGATCATTTGGTCAAATGGTATTTCTCGTTCTAGATCCTTGAGGAATCACCACACTGTCTTCCACAATGGCTGAATTAATTTACACTCCTGCCAACAGTGTGAAAGCGTGCCTATTTCTCTACATCCTCTCCAGCATCTGTTGTTTCCTGACTTTTTAATGATCGCCATTCTAACTGGCATGAGATGATACCTCATTGTGGTTTTGATTTGCATTTCTCTAATGACCAGTGATGATGAGCATTTTTTCATATGTTTGTTTGCAGGCATTCTTTTTTTTTTTTTTTTTTTTTTTTGAGATGGAGTCTCACTCTGTTGCCCAGGCTGCAGTGCTATGGCACAATCTCAGCTCACTGCAACCTCCACCCCCCCGAGTTCAAGTGATTCTCCTGCCTCAGCCTCCTGAGTAGCTGGGATTACAGGCACCTGCCACTGCGCCTGGCTAATTTTTGTATTTAGTAGAGAAGGGGTTTCACCATCTTGACCAGGCTGGTTTTGAACTCCTGGCCTCGTGATCCACCCGCCTCGGCCTCCCAAAGTGTTGGGATTACAGGCATGAGCCACCACGCCTGGCCTACAGGCAGTCATTCTTAAGTGTTGACATATGTCTTCTCTCTGTTAGAATTCTTATAATAGGTACATTTTTGTTTTTTATACATACATTTTTATATAAACTACGTTGTAGTAAAATTTTCATTCTGCTTTTCTTCATTCAGCAATATATTTTAAAAAGTCTAACCATGTTGCTGAGTATCTGTCTAGACTATTGCTTCTAATGATGCCTAATTATTCATCCATTTTATCCACTCATTTCACAGAAATGGACATGCACATTGCCCCCAACTCACCAACACTAGTAACGATACTGTGGCAATATCCTCATACATCTTACCTCGTGTGTGAGAATTCCTCTGGATTCCTATACTTAGCAGTGGAAATACTGAGTCATAAGTAACATTCGTATCAGTTAGAGTAAAACCAGGAAAACAGTGTGTCTACGTGTGTAAAACTAAGATTTTAATGCAGGGAATAGTTACAGAGGTGACGAAAGAGCTGACGGCCAAACAGGGGACATAGGTAATCTAGAGATTGGCAATAATAGGAAGCCCCTACCACATCTAAACTGCAGGAATTGCTTGGAACCAAGAGTTTGGGTCATCTGACAAAAGCCGGAATCATAGCACCTGGTGGGAGCTGCAAGAGAAGGAAGAAATATAGATGCTTCTATAAATAGGAGAGAGATAAGAGAGAGAAAAACAGCCTGTTCTTTTCCTCCATCCCCATCTCCTATCAGTGCTTTCCACTAGTCGAATCCAGCCCCCGATGCAGCTTGCTGATGCCAGGGCAGAGCAGGGGCAGTGAAGAACAAATCAGCCAGCAGATACTGTATACTTGGTTTGACTAAGTCCTGCCAGATTGTTCTCCTAATAACTCTCCTAGCTACACTCCCACCAGCAATGTATCCCTACATCCCATCTACTCTTCATGGCCCTCTGTTCAACAGAGTGGAGGTACAGATCTCCACTGTCTTCCTTTAAGTGTGTCTAGCCTATTGCAGATGCCTCAGGCATTTCCTCAAATCTAGCAGCCAGACCGAACTAAAGGACCCATCCATCCACTTAACCAGAACCTCCTGAGGGCAGGAACCTTGTCAAATTTATCTGTAATCCCTTATCTGGCATCATGCTCAGTGCTACTGACCAAGTGAGAAATGCTCTTGTTGACTATTGGTGTCCTGCCTTTACCCCCATTGTTATTTGGTTTGCAGGTGTAGTCGACACTGAGGGCAGTTTTCAAGAAGCCACTTACAACATTGTGGAGGAAAATCTCTAGGGAGATTCTGTGGGTGAGGGAGAAGGTTGACAGTAAGCAGGTAAACAAGGTTTAGGACTAGAATGGTTGTCAAAACACTGTGTTAGTTGGTAAATAGCCACTGCTGTGAGCAATTCTGAGTGACTGTTGTGCTTTGACGGCTCCAGCCACTCTCTGCAAGATCAGCAACTAAAGGAAGATGCCATTATGATTAGGGGACTCTAGGACTCTGCTGTTGCAATCTAGCTGGCCATCTTCCTGATTGGTTAGTGTATATGCTTTACTGGTTGTTAAATATTTGAAATATTCTTCCCCTGGATGAGTACCACAAAATAAAGAATGTTTGGGGGAAAGTCTGCAGACTTTAGGGTGCCTTAGGGCTCCCAGGAAGCTTGTTTCTTTATGTGATAATGGGGGAGTGAATTCTCTAGGATTATTTTCCTGATGGAAAATGCTGCATTTTTTTTTTGCTTTTCTCTCTCTCTCTTTTTTTTTATTTTTGAGAAGGAGTCTCGCTCTGTTGCCCAGGCTGGAGTGCAGTAGCGTGATCTCGGCTCACTGCAAGCTTCGCCTCCTGGGTTCACGCCATTCTCCTGCCTCAGCCTCCCAAATAGCTGGGACTACAGGCGCCCACCACCACGCCCAGCTAATTTTTTTGTATTTATAGTAGAGACAGGGTTTCACTGTGTTAGCCAGGATGGTCTCTATCTCCTGACCTCGTGATCCACCCACCTTGGCCTCTCAAAGTGCTGGGATTACAGGCGTGAGCTACCGCGCCCGGCCAACTTTTCTCTTAATGAATAACTTACATAGTAAAATGCACACATCTGATGTGTACAGCTCATTAAAATTTTACATATATACTAACATATCCACCAACAGATCAAGATATAGACTTGCATCTTCCTAGCAGACTCCCTCATGCCTTCTCTTTGTCAGTTACCCGCCAAGTAACCACAATTCCGACATTTATCATTATAAATTAATTTTGTCTCTTTTAAAACTTCATGTTAGTAGGAACACAGTGTATACTCTTGACGTCTGGCTTCTTTTGCTCAACATTAAAAACATACTTCTTCTGGGATTTATTTGACTATTTTTCCAATTTGTTAAGTTGGATTCTTAGCTCATTAATTTTCAAATTTCCTTCTCTTTTTCATATTTTTTACAACTTTAAAAAATTGTGTCAAAATATATGTAACATGAAATTTGTAACTTTAACCATTTTTTTAAAGTTTATAATTGGTGACCTTAATTATATTTACTGTATTATGCCATCATTATCACTATTTCAAAATTTTTTCGCCGGGCGCGGTGGCTCACGCCTGTAATCCCAGCACTTTGGGAGGCCGAGGCGGGCGGATCACAAGGTCAGGAGATCGAGACCACGGTGAAACCCTGTCTCTACTAAAAATACAAAAAATTAGCCGGGCGCGGTTGTGGGCGCCTGTAGTCCCAGCTACTCGGGAGGCTGAGGCAGGAGAATGGCGTGAACCCGGGAGGCGGAGCTTGCAGTGAGCCGAGATCGCGCCACTGCACTCCAGCCTGGGCGACAGAGCGAGACTCCGTCTCAAAAAAAAAAAAAAAAAAAAAAATTTTTTTCATCATCCCCCCAAAAAACCTCTGTATCCATTAAGCACTAACTCCTCATTTCTTCCTTCTCCCAGTCCCTAATAATCTCTAATTTACTTTCTGTCTCAACAAGTTTGCCTATTCTAGATATTTCATATAATGGAGTTATACAGTATATGTCCTTTTGCGTTTGACTTCTTTCACTTAGCATGTTTTCAGGGTTCATCCATGTTATAACCTATCAAAATTTCATTCTTTTTATGAATAATTTTCCATGTATGTATATACCACATTTTGTTTATTAATTCATCTGTTGATGGACACTTGGGTTCTTATCACGTTTTGGCTATTGTGAATAATGCTGCCATAAACATTGATGTACAAATATCTGAGTTCCTGTTGTTAATTCTTTTCGGTATATACCTAAGAGTGGAATTGATGTGTCATATGGTAAACCTATGCTTAGCTTTTTGAGGACTGCCAAACGGTTTTCCACAGCAAATGCATCATTTTATATTCCCACCAGCAGTGCAGGAGGGTTCTAATTTCTCCACATCCTCACCAACACTTGTTATTTTCTATTCATTTGTTTTTATTATTATAACCATCCTAATTGGTGTGAAGTGGTATCTCATTGTGGTTTTGATTTGCATTTCCTTAATGACTAATGATGTTGAACATCTTTTAATGTGATTTTTGGCCATTTGTATATCTTCTTTAGGGAAATATCTATTCAAATATTTTGTCTATTTTTCAATCGGGTTGTCTTTTTGTCGTTGAGTGGTGGGAGTTTTTAAATATATTATGGATATTAAACTCTTCTCAGGTATATGATGTGCAAACATTTTCTCCTGTGGGTTATCTTTTCACTCTCTTGATCATGTTTTTCGATATACAGAAGTTTTTCATTTTAATGAAGTCCAATGTATCTATTTTTTCTTTTGTTGCTTCGGCTTTTGTTATCATTTTAAGAAACCATTGCCAAATTCAGAATTGTGCAGATTTGCCCCTATGTTTTCTTCTGAGAAGTTTGTAGTTTTAGCTCTTAAATTTAGGTCTCTAAGCTGTTTTGAGTTGATTTTTGTATACGGTATAAGGTAAGGGCCCAACTTCATTATTTTGCATGTAGGTAGGATTTCTCCAAGACTAAGGGTAGGCATCTTGTCCATCTTGTTCCTAGTACTGTGCCTGACACACATTATGTACTTATTCAACAACTATTGATTTGTTATATACCATACTAGGCACTGGAGAAGAAACATATCCACCAACAGATCAAGATATAGATTTGCATCTTCCTAGCAGACTCCCTCATGCCTTCTCTTTGTCAGTTACCCGCCAAGTAACCACAATTCCGACATTTATCATTATAAATTAATTTTGTCTCTTTTAAAACTTCATGTTAGTAGGAACACAGTGTATACTCTTGACATCTGGCTTCTTTTGCTCAACATTAAAAACATACTTCTTCTGGGATTTATTTGACTATTTTTCCAATTTGGAGAAGAAAACAGACTTGATCATCGTCACCTTGGTATTTCGTTGCTAGTGTTTGCTGAATAAATAAATAAGAAACCATCTATTTTCATGACATCTGCATCATCACAAGTTGATAATCGCTCCATATGGTAATTTTGACTCCATACATTCCATACCATAATTGTAGTCGTTACTTAGAGAATCTCTCAGCCTCTCTCTGTTTCTCAACTCAAAGGTGAAATGTATTAAATACAGTAATCAAGTGAGCATATGTTATTTAAGAATGAGATTGGTGATGTTCCAGGTGTTTATTTCTAGACTTTTTGCCAGGTAAGGTGGCCATTTCATTCCCAAAAGGATTACTCATATATAATAGTATTTGAATAACAAAACAAGCATTTGAATAACAAAAACAAGTATTTGAATAACAAAAACAATAGAACTTAGCAAACGTGGTGAAACTCCATCTCTACTAAAAATACAAAAATTAGCCCAGCATGGTGGTGCGTGTCTGTAATCCTAGCTACTTGGGAAGCTGAGGCAGGAGGATTGCTTGAACCCAGGAGGCGAAGGTTGCAGTGAGCTGAGATCGCACCACTGCACACCAGTCTGGGCAACAGAGTGAGACTCCGTCTCAAAAAAGAAAAGAAAACAAAACAAAACAAAGCAAAAAAATAGAACTTTAAGGTGAGAAATTGGAAAGCAGTCCTGAATTGGTAGAAACCCTAGGCATCTGGACAAATTATTTGTTTGTTTGTTTATTTAAGAGCGAGAATTTGCCAACATATTAGTTTGCTAAATATTTTTAAAAGGATTACTGAAGCTGTAGAAAATATATAGAAAGCCATCTTAGGAAACTCTACCTCTTGCTTGCTGATATATAAATTGTAGTCAGTTTTTTCTTCTTTTTGTCACAACCTTTGGAGATTCCGGTAAAATGCCTCCTTCAGAATATTTCTGGGCATCCTTTGTTTATTTTTTTTTGGTTACATGAATAAGTTCTTCAGTGGCAATTTCTGAGATTTTGGTGCACTCATCACCTGAGCAGTGTACACTGTACCCAATGCATAGTCTTTTTTCTCTCATCCCCGTCCCTATCCTTCCCCCCAAGTTCCCAAAGTCCATTTTATCATTCTTATGCCTTTGCATCCTCATAGCTTAGCTCCTACTTATGAGTAAGAATGTACAATGCGTTTTCCATTCCTTAGTTACTTCAGTTAGAATAATGGTCTCCAGTTCCATCCAGGTTGCTACCAATGCCATTATTTCATTCCTTTTTATGGCTGAGTGTTATATATACCATCATATATATACACATACCACAATTTCTTTATCCACTCATTATTGATGGGCATTTGGGCTCGTTCCATATTTTTGCAACTGCAAATTGTGCTGCTATAAACATGTGTGTGCAAGTATCTTTTTTGTATAATGACTTCTCTTCCTCTAGGTAGATACCCAGTAGTGGGACTGCTGAATCAAATGGTAGATCCACTTTTAGTTCTTTAAGGAATCGCCACACTGTTTTCCATAGTGGTTGTACTAGTTTACGTTCCTACCAGCAGTGTAAAAGTGTTCTCTTTTCACCACATCCACACTGACATCTGTTGTTTTTTATTTTTTGATTATGGCCAGTTTTGCTGGAGTAAGGTGATATTACATTGTTTTGATTTGCATTTCCCTTATAATTAGTGATATCTAGTCTTTTTTCATATGTTTGTTGGCCATTTTTATATCTTCTTTTGAGAATTGTGTATTCATGTCCTTAGCCCACTTGTTGATGGGATTGCTTGTTTTTTTTCTTGCTGGCTTGAGTTCCTTGTAGATTCTGAGTATTAGTCCTTTGTTGGACATATAGACTGCAAAGGTTTTTCCCATTCTGTGGGCCGTTTACTCTGCTGATTATTTCTTTTGCTGTGCAGAAACTTTTTAGTTTAATCAAACATTGTTCAGACAAATTGTTACAAATCATTCCTGCAGGACTCCATTCAGCCTAGACAACCATACCTTTAGTCTAGTTCTCACAGAATTTCTACAGAAATCCTACCTCCTCAAAGTAATAAAAAATTTGCATTAGCAATCAGACTAATATCAAAGATAATAAAAATAACAATTGGGCTACTTATAATGATTACCTACATAACTTTCTCCATTAACTACCTCACAACAACTCTGTGAAGTAGGCAGGACAAATATTACCACCCCCAGTTCACAGCTGGGATAATAGTACTCTGCATAATAATAATTCTTGAGGGATTCTTAAATGCTGGCACTGTGTTAATTTCTTTATATTCATCGAATATCCCCAATAACCCTATAGGTAGATACTATTATTTTCCCCATTTTCAGGCTACGTAATTAATGAAGCTTAAAGATGTAAGTAGCCTGCCCCCAGGAGTGCATAATTATTAAGTAGCAGAACCAATGCTTATGTTTAAATCAGAAACACTCAGAAGTAGTATGAGAATTTAGCAAAACCAAAACACACCCTCATGCAATCCGTACTATGTGGCCACGTGCCTACCAGGGTCAGCTGGATGGTACTTGTCTGCTAGAAGTGATTCGAGACAGAAGAATCAACACGAGCTGGAAGGGCATCTGGAAATCAGCTGGGGACTAAAGACAGGTGTGCAGCCCTCAGTTTACAAAGGCTGTGAGACCAAGAGTTCCAAGACCTCCAGGAAAACATCTCCCTGCTAAAAGGCTTTCCTAACCTTTAGAAATCTATTCCTTTCCCTCCCTTTCCATCCTCTTTCTCTTGCTATCTCTTTATCGCTCCTCCTGCCTTCTTCCTTTCTTTCCTTCAGTTAACTTTTTTTGAAACGATGATGAGCAAAGGCCTGATCCAGTCTATGGCGCGTTTCGGTGGGACGATGAATACGCCTTCCCAGCAGAGTAAAATGTGATTACACCAAGGACTGGTTCCCTCTCCCTTCCCCTGGCCAGGTCAGCGTCCCCAGGCGTCGGAGAAGGGGTTGGACCACTCAGCGGGCTGTCAGAGTTGCCAGGCGCCCGGGGCAAATACGGGCAGCCGGTGGCTGTGAGGTGTCCTAGCTACGGGGCGGCGGCAGGACACACACACCGCCCAAGCCCGGACGGTGGCCGGAGCTAAGGCCACCATGGGGGACCGAAGGCGGCGGCTCCAGCCGGGGACGTTGGCCCCGGTGCGCGAGGACGTGAACTGCAGGTCCAGGTAAACGCTCAGTTCCTGGGCCGAGGGCGCATCCCCCGCAGGCCGCGCGGGGGCGCCTGGAGACCCGCGCTTGCTGGGGCGGGGGCGGGGGGAGAGGTCCTGCCTGCCTTCCCTCCTCAGTGCTTCCTGTACGTACAATATAATATGCTGAGATAACCAGCGCTCGGTGCTGCTCTTCGCAAAGGATTTTTCCTCCTGTCATCCTTGCAACCCCCGCCTCTCACGCACGCCCCCAGGGATGTAGACTAATATCTCCATTTCTGAGGGGAAAGTGATGGCCGCAGGGTCCGCTGCGGAGGCTGGTTTAGCCCAGGACTCTGAGCCCTCCTGCTAACCACCCACCCTTCTCCGGCCTAGCCAACCAACTGTTCGTCAGATGCCCCGGGGCGCCTGGGGTCCTGTATCCGGTGTTAGGCATCTGTTGCCCCTGGAGCCTTTGGCATCCAGATGGCGGCTGTGACCAAACGGAGCCCAGGGTTGAGGGAGCGCCTGGGGTACTAGGGAGGTCTGCTAACACTTTGTACGGTTGTGGTAGCCTCACAGCAGGAACAAGAATGTTTTTGCCTTTGCCGACTCCTTGAGAATCTTTTGAGAATGGAATTCGTCTCTCTTGGAGACAGCACGATGTGGTGGTGAAGATTCCAAAGTCTAGAATCAGAAAGGCTTGCGTTGAAGGCTGGTTCTCCTCTTGTTTGGAGACTTAGGCAACTTAGGCAAGTTGGTTGCTCCTTCTGGGCTCACTTTCCTAACTATAAAATGGGGCAATAACTTGGGAATCAGCTTTCTAAGATTGTTGTGAGGATTAATGGAGATAGCACATGTAAACTTGTCACTGGCACATAGAATGTATTGTGTACATGTTAGCAATTATTCATAGTTGTTTCTAGCAGTTATTCATAAGAGCTTCTTTGGGAAGCTTTTCCCTCCATTTAAAAAACTTTGTTTTGAAATAACTGTAGACTCACAAGAAGTTGCAGAAATAGTACAGAGTTCCCATGTACGCTTCCCCTAGCTGCGTACAGTGGTACCATTTTACATAATGATAGCACATTGCCAAACCAGGAAACGTCATTGGCAGAATATGCTAATTGAACTATAGACCTTACTTGGATTTTATCAGCTCTTGCACTCAGGTGTGTGTGTATACAGTTCTGTAACATTTGGTCATATGTATACATCAAGATACAAAACTGTTTCATCCCCACAAAGGAATGCTTAGTACTACCCCTTTACTGTCACTTCCTTTCCCACCCCAGCCTTGGCGATCAGTAAACTGCTCTCCATTTCTGTAAGTTAGTTCTTTTGAGAATGTTAGATAAATAGAATAATATGGTATGTAACTATTTGAGACTGGTTCTTTTTCACTCATCATACAGCCCCCGAGATCCATCCAAGTTGTGTGTATCAATAGTTCATTTTTGTTGCTGGGTAGTGTTCCTTGGTGTGGATGTACCACAGTTTGTTTATCCATTCACTTGTTGGAGGATATTCAGGTTGTTTTGGACAGTACAGTTTTTGGGCTATTACGTAGAAAGCTGCTATCGACATTTGTATACAGAATTTTCTAAGAACATACGTTTTCATTTCTTTAGGATACAAGCCCAGTATCCTGTTGCAATTCTTAAAGAGGGAAATATCCACATATCATGTACTAATGTCTGTGAAAACAGTAAATATTTAGAAAAATTGTTTTCAATTTTATTTTATGGGCCAAGCAAGATTTTTCCTGAACCTAACATAATGCAGAGTGGTAAGCTTATTAACTATGAGAGGCCGTGTGGGGGAGAGGAAAGCCCTCCCTCTACCCTTGTTGCCTCACTCTCCTCTTAGAACTTAGTTTCCTTATTGAAAAGAGGAAAGTGGTAGCCAGGCATGGTGGCACATGCCTGTAGTCCCAGCTACTCAAGAGGCTGAGGTGGGAGGATCACTTGAGTCTGAGAGGCAGAGGTTGCAGTAAGCCAAGATCACACCATTGCACTCCAGCCTGGGCAACAGCAGAACCCTGTCTCAAAAAAAAAAAAAAAAAAAAAGGAAAGAAATGAGGAACGTGGCTCATGCCTGTAATCCCAACACTTTGGGAAGTGGAGGCAGGAGGATCGCTTGAGCCCGAAGTTTGAGACCAGCCTGGGCAACATAGCAAGACCCTGTCTCCTCTCTCTACAAAAACAATTTAAAAATTTAGCTAGGCATGGTGGCACACACCTGTAGTCCCAACCATTTGGGGGACTGAGATTGGAGGATCCCTTGAGCCCAGGAGTTTGAGGGTGCAGTGAGCTATTGAGTTATAATTGCCACTGCATGCTAGCCTGAGCAACAGAGTGAGACCCTGTCTTGGAAAAAAAAAAAAAAAAAAAAAAAAAACAGAAAGAAAAAGACGAGTGAAGAAAGTAGACTGGATTTCTCTCAGGATCTCTGCCAGTTCTAACATTCTATGAGGTTTCAGCTCACTGCCACATACATTCCCCATTTTGAGTTGTATGGCTGTACTTAAACAAAAATATTTGTTCTCAGATTTGATTTTGTGAAGTGCTTGGGTGCATGAGTTAGCTGTAAATATGCATAAAATGAACTTTGTAAAGACATTTAATATGGAGAGTTACTTACTAATAGGTAATGCTGAATGGGTCATCAATCTTATGATTAGATGTAATTTCAACATCTTTCTGCCATTTAGCTATTTAAGAGTGATTTGTTAAATGCAGAGAGTAACTTTTTGTTAAGTTCATCTTTTTGTGTCCTTTCATCTAGATTTTCACAGTAGAGTTGGGTTAAGCCCTTAAAACAACACATACACATCTATGCAGCAAGTAAGAAGTTTCTAGGACTCACTAGAAAATAATTGGGGTCAGGCTGGAATCTCTTAAAAACACTTTGTAGCAATGGGTGTAGCAAGGATTAGATTTGGTGTATAAAGACATTATAGATTAAAGGGATCTGAAGGTGGAAGAGGCTTCAAGGACACTGAGATTCTAGAAATATCTGACTAAGGCATTGTAGTATGTGGGGATAATGAGATGCTCAGATTCCAAATTGTGACTTTGGTGTTCGCTGGTTGTGTTAGGTTATTTGGGAGCTGGTTCTATTTTCCTTCCTGTTTGCCCATCTGTCTCTTCCATCTCATCTCTGTGCCCTAACTGCTCAATGCTAGCAGGGGGCTGGTGGATAAGGAGGCTGAGTGAAGCAGCTATATATATGGCGGTAGGGAGAGGTGGAGGTTGTGAATGAGAGAGCAGGTGGTTTGTCTCAAGTGGGCAACAAATATACCAATTGTGGCTCCTTGGAAAAGTGGACCTATTGTTCACAGATCTTGAAAAATCTGGCTTTTCAAGAGCAGCTGTTTTTCCTGGTTATTTATGTGAACATTTTTATTTATCAGAAACTAGTAGAGTGATTGAGCACCTTTTTATGGAGCTGCACTACCTGGGTTAAACTCCCAGCTCTACCACTTATTAGCTGTGTGACCTTCGAAAAGTGTTTGTTTTGCTTTTTAACTTCTTTGTGCTCAATTTTCTTATCTGTAAATGGGAATAATACTCATACCTAATTCATAGGGTTGTTATGAGATTTAAATATGCTGGTATGTGTAAAGCACTTAGAAAGTGTCTGTTATATTGAAAATTCTCAATTTATGTTAGCTATTATGATTTTTATTAAAACATAAGGAGGACCAAATGACAGGTTTATTGGCCCGATGTAGCCATGGACAGCCATTTTGCAACCTTTGATCCCCTAAGTTTAGGGGGAATCCACAGAGGTTATATGAAGAGCCAAGGCCATTCAGCTATTTAGGGGCTGAGTTGTCAGTGGGATCCAGGTTCTTCCCACCCCACTGCACTCTGTCCCTTTTAGTGAAGGGAGAGGGTCCTTGGGAAAGGCAGCAACTTGAGTGTCCTTCACAAAGTGAATGGAGAGAAGAAGTGTGGTGGCAGCAGTTGGAATAATGAATTAGATTTATATAGAGTGACATGGAAGGGTCTTTAAAATATAGTGCTTGGTAAACAAGAAACAGAATAGTGCCATTTACATAAATTAATAGTGCATGCACACAAAAGGATGCTTCAGAATTTCAAGGAAGTGTACAAACAAAGGATATATTCCAAACCCACTAGAACAGTTTTGCTTTTGCAAGGGAGACCAGTGAGACTGCACTGTGGGGATAAAATAGACAAGAAAGCAGGAGAGGGGTCTTGTACAGAGCAGCGATTCTGTGCTATGAACTAGGAATATGATTAACTCCAGCTTCTCTAGTGAATCCCTCTTCCCCTACCCCCCACCCCAAAAGCTGGAGACCAGCCTTTTTACTACCTCCTTCTCCCACCCAAGTCCTGTGGTTAATATGAACAGGCACGTCGTATTCTAGGTACAAAGAGAATTTATCTACCTTTCAGATGTTTCACAAAGCACAAGAATGCGCTGAAGTTCCCCACTTCCCTGAACAGCCGGCAGCTGGTATTTCTAAGAAAGAGGCTGGATGACTTCAGGAAGGGCAGCCCGTCTTGCACTGGTCTGGTGACTCAGGTCCCTGTGGAGGGCTTTCTGCCCCAGATTTATCACAGAGCTCCCCAATTGGCCCCAAAGAAGAGACAGATCAAGCTGCCCAAGGAAGCAGACCTGCTTTCCAAGCTCTCGCCAGCCCAGCAGGCTCAGAAGGCATTCCTGGAGGACGTGGAGGCCCACCTGACCCCACATCCCTTGGCGCTCTACCCGAATCTGGAAGAAGCTATGCCTGTCGAGGTGATGTGTCCTAGGGTTTGTGGGAGGGGCTTCACTGGGGCCTTGCAAATAATTCTATTTAAATGTCTAGGGAGTCCCCATGAGAGGGTGACATATATTTATAAGAGGAGCAATGAATGTC